AAGAATGTCATTGATAATGACAATAGCTGCATGCAATCATTATAAGGACCAAAGACTAAGATATGAATGGGTTAATTCCATATGCCTGCCTATTGCATCTATAAAAATAGTGAGTCGCGCAGAACTAAAATATCAAGAAAATGACATGTTACACATAGAAAAGTACAAACAAAAACTGTCAAGTAATACAGAAAATGCATACCCACAAATCCCACCAGTACTCATATCAAACCCACCATCAATAAGCTCCCCATCTGATGCATAAGTAGGTTTTGCCATCTGGTCAAGTTGCTTATAGGGAATTGCATAAGCCAAAGAGGTCAAAACAAGACCCACCCAGTGTTTCCAAGTGAAGCTTGAGTGCAAGATCAAAATCCTCACCAATACATATACAACCTAAATTAAACATACATAAAGACCAATCAACACAAAATTAAACATGGTTAAGGAATAAAATAGGATACCAGTAAGTCAACAGCAAAACATTACATTGGGAATATAAAGCAAAATTGCAAAATGAGACAAACAGTATCAATGGGTATACTTCTTAATACATATACAATACTTATGTTTCAGAGGCCCATACAAAGGGATAATCTTCAAACTTGGTGAGAAGGAGATAAAAACACAAATAGCAGCTGCCATTTCTTTTTACGAACATAACAATTTTGGCCATAAAATTTTTGGATGACAGTGTAGTTATCACATCAGTGCAAAATTCAGTTAATCTGAACTCAGTAATTACAAATGATCAAAGACATGGAACAATGGAACAAAGATGACGAGTGCATACATTGCAGGCAATGATGAGGTGACGGAGATTTGTCATGTGCCGCACATTTTTTTCCTTTTGCTTCTTGGCTCCTTGATTTGCCATCTTTATTTTGTCAGCAGTGACCGAAATTTAACTGTAGCTACAGCAACAGTGCTTTTTATTAAAATTATAAACTTTTAAAACAAACCCTATTGGACTTTCTACAAACCCAGATTACAAAGGAATTAAATTGTTAAATAACAACAAGTCTATAGAAGTGGATAAGAAACATAAGTCACATAGGGGAAAGTGTCAAAGTACTGACTCTATAGTGAAAATCATTAATTAGAGAGTCCAGCATAGAAAGGTTGGCTGCAACATTAATGAGCATAGAATTAGATTTGTTTAATGAATAAAAAAATTATGGGGTTTTAGGTGATAATTTGACTTAATTGGATTACTTTTTTAATTGGATTTGAATTCCTAGCGAGGTAAGTAACTTATATTCCTTAGTTGTGTTTTTAGTTTTGAATAAATATAGAGATATATAGTTATATTTATATAAACGTATACTGTTATTGATGAGTTTTAAATTCTACTATTATATGAATAAATATATAATAATATGAAAATGTTGTCACGCAATATATATATATATAGATTATGCTTTATTAAATTTCTTCAAGAAATAGAGTTTTTACTTTATCTACTTCCTAGAATTTAATTTTGTTTTTTGGGAATTTGACCAATCATGATTTTATGAAAT